GAGTAAAATGAAAACGTTTCTGAAAAAATATTTAAATTGTTGTAGCAATAAGCATGGTGGACATTCTTTGTTGTCACATTTGTGCAATGATCAACAAAACAATTTTATCACTTAATTTGTGATTCTTTTAAAAATGAGTGAATGTTAATTAGTGATCAGTGGGGTGCATTTACAACATTTTATAGTAAAAATCATCCAGTTTGCCTTACTTTACTACTGTAACATCATGTTTTCATTTGCATTTTTGTAAAACAAACATTAGGATATCAATAAACAGACTGTTATGAATATTTTTATCAAAAAAAATTTTTTTTGTCCAAGCCATTTTTGCACTATTTCAATCTTGATTGGGGATTATGGGTATAAAACCAACTTTTTTACGCATAATAAAATGACTTAAAACTAAAAATTATGTTTATTGGTTTGTATGTTTATAACATAATGTCCAATTCTTTCTCAGCTGACTCTTTTTTATGTTCTCTACTAAAATGCATTATCCAATTTTCTATAGTTTTTATTTTTGGTAACTCATTCGGATCCAACATGCCTGCTTCTACTCTTTGTTTTAGATCTGCAAGCATCATTTCAGCAGTGAATCTATTCTTCTTGTCTACATTTCCTGACAAAAAATAGGCTCTTAGAAGTTGTTTTACCTGTTCAGACATGCGTTTACTTCCACCATGCTTTCCAAAATTTTAGTTTTCATGAAGAGCCCAACCCAGTTCAAAGTAATTCCCTCTAGAAAATTTTAAAATGTTAATTTATTATTTATTATTATATTAATTTTTTTTCCTATTTATAGTTCACTTAGGAAAAAATGTCTGTTATAAACAAGACTTAAATTCTCAGTCTGTTATAGAGCAAGACCCATTATAGAAAGGTTCATTATTATTATTATAAGTACCTGTATTCATTCTTTTTACTGCTCCATCTTCATTCCCAGGTATCATTATACAGCGTTTTTTGTTTTGGACATTTCAATTGATATGGATGGTGCATTGTTCAACACTGCACCTTGGGAATGAATTTCTACACAAATCTTCATAGGGGAAATAAGCTCAGATAAGAAAATGTTTATTTAGATTTATATAATATACCTTTGATTTTGTTTAGAGTTTCTTCTCTGATTTGCTTTTGCAGTTTTTCTACCAATTCATTTTTACTTTCCTTCTCTTAATACTCAATTTTTCTTTTTTTCAATTCAGCTTTTACAACATCCTTGGACAATCTATTTGGATCTTTCTCTGAAAAAATTAATCATGGAAAAGAAAAAATTATAAAGATAATAAACAATAAATTTGAACAAAAAAAATTTATTAATAGAATTGGTATTAGTAGTAATAATAAAATAAATATATAGTATAATAATAGTGATTATAAATCAAATAATTTAATTCATTTCATTAATAATTTGTCATAAATTAAAATTAAACTTTATCCTACCTTTACTAGGCAATGGAATAGTCCATTCTGAGCTTGGTGTTGTTTTGACTGAAGTTGATGGATTTGGTTTTATTAATTCTTGGTCTTTTAGAGATTTCTTAATATCAAATGGTGAAAAGGTATTCCATGTA